CCCTCATCATGTGTTTCTGCTGTGCCCAGAGCCGGGACACTGTGACAAACCAGGTATGGTCATGACTCTTGGGTCAGGACAGAGAAAAGACAAAACACAAACATCTTTTTCTTGACAGGTTTTAAAACTTAAATCTTGGGGCGGTGACAACACAAAGACTGTTTCTCATAAAATTCGCCTTTGATGACTGGAGAATGTGCCTAAGGCCATGCTTACCCACCACTGACCATGGAGACCCACCAAGGTACCCCACGTGCAGGCATGGGCAGGTGGGCATGTTGGCAAGGGCTGTGGATGCAGGCCTGCCTCTGATGGGGCCTCCATCGTTTCCAAAAATTAAATTCTGATGCAGACTTATTCTCCACTCTAATGGAGAATTCAGGTTCACAAAAATGTTTGATAACAACAATTTTCTTTTTCGCATGGAATAAGACAGTGTCTGCCAAGGCTCTATCAACAGGGAAGAGAGGGAGAGAGGGAAAGAGAGAGAATGGATAAATAAATGACTGGAATAGTGGTTGTTGCCATCCATAATTGATTAACCTACTGCCAGTGCTTTTCCACTCCCACACCATGGAGACCTGAAAGTAACATATCAGGTGAGATGGTGGGAATGGGGTTTGAACTCTACGCACTGCAGAGAGAAGCAAATATCAACCATTATTCACCACTGTCTGCACCAGGCAATGCAAAACACTCTTACAGGTCTTTCTGCAATGAGTGCTACCTTCCCTACCCTCAGACTCCAGCTCAAACTCCGTGTTCACTTACGGACAGCAGGTTTCAAGGACAAATAACAAGAAGCTCAGACCTGAGCCATACCGTGGGAGAAACAGTACAGGGATGAGGGCTCCCTGGACCTGGCTCCTGTTAGTACTTTACAGGCACCAGCTCCTCTAATCCCCCATTGGCCCATTCTGGCTCATTCATTTAACTGACATTATTTTGTACTTAGTACTCAAGAGCTGTGCACACAGCAAGAACTAGAGGTGAAGCCTCGGCCCCTCAGAGCCCACGTGCTGGTAGAGAAGCCGCGTGGGCAAGGCCAATGGGACTGGGGTCAGGGACACTGCCATGGGGAAATGAGGTTGGGTGAGGGGAAGGGGCCATGTGTTGCCACACAGCGGCCAGCTGGCTTCCTGCACAGGGCGATGTTTTAAACGCAGTAGAGGGAGAGCAAGAGTCTTAGAGACTCGGGGTTAGGGTGTGGTTGGGGTATGAGGACCATCAAGGAAGCCCATGGGCTAGGTCCAAGGGGGAGGCGAGCTGGGGGTGGGCGACAGGCCACATGGGGTGCGGCCACAGGCACTAGGGAGGATGTGGCATTCAACGCCTCAGGAAGCCACTGGAGGGATCTGAGCAAGAGGTGACATTTTTCAACTTACATGGGACCCTGGTCCTGTGGCCACTTGTGTGGAGAATGAACTAGAAGTGGAACAATGGTGGCACAGAGAGACGCCTGGAGGCCAAGTCCAGGCAGGAGAGCACCATGAACCATTGCCAGAGAAGAGGGAGACAGCTGGAGCCTGGAACTACTCCAAGGGGAGCAGGGAGGACTTCAGGGTCATCTGGACACCAGCACAAAGCCAAGAGCTTTGCAGGAGGCTTAGATGTATTGACTGAAATGGGGAAGAGTTCCAGCTGGGGCACAGATGGGAACCGAGACCTGGAGGTGTAAGCTCTGAGATGCGCACCAGGCCCCACGTGGACGCGTAGAGTCCACAGAAACACCCTGGAGCGCAGGAGGCGTCAGCTGGAGGGATCAGCCAGAGATTCGTCAGGCCACAGACGTGTTTAAAGCCGCACATCCAGCAGGTGCTTACTGACTCTTACAATCAGGTACCATGGGACAATGGGGGCACCCTGGGGCATAGACAGATACCAGCACGATCCCCCATTCAGACAAAATTAGACAACCAACAATAAGTACTTGATGGGTAGCGGACAGACAGAAAACAGATAATGACAAGAATTAGTGTGACTCTGGAACTGTGTCCCATCTAGGAAGGAAGGTTCAGTGTTGTCACAGAAGCCAACAACAAGGGCCTTTGATCTGACAACAAGGAAATGGGGCAGGGACAGGGGAGGGATCTGCCCAGGGCCAAGTCCAAGTTCACAGCATATTCTGTTGGAGGCCATGGACTGGCCCAGCCACAGAGATCCCAAGGAAGAGGGGGCTTTGGGAGTAAAAGCCAAGGCCTAGCTTTGGTTCAATGAGAAGAGGAATGAGTTATCTAAGAGAGGTTACTTCAGGGGGTTAAAGGGGGTTCTCTAAAAGATGTGCCCAAGTCCAAATCCCCAGAACCTGTGAAAGTGACCTTATTTGGAAAGTGGATCTTTGCAGAAGTAATTAAGTTAATCTCTAGATGGGGAGATCACCCAGGATTATCCAGATGGGCCCTGCCTGCAATGACTACTGTCCTTATACAAACAGAAGAGGAAGGAGGGAGAGGAGGCAGCCATGTGCCCACGGAGGCGGGGCTGGGAGTCTCAGGCCGAGAAACGCTGGAACCACCAGAAACTGGAAGAAAATGGCTCCTCCTTAGGGTTCTCACAAGCAGCATGACCCTGCCTGATTTTGGATTTCTAGCCTCTAGAACTGCAAGAGAGTAAATTCTGTGGTCGTAAGCCACCGAGTGGGTGATAAAGTGTTACAGCGGCCACAGGAGGCTAACACAGCTGGCCGTGACCAGGACACCTGGCTGAGCAGGAGAAGCACTCAATCAGAGGAGGGTGCTGGGCAGGAGGGATGGAGGTGGACACAAGGGTGCCACTAGATGTGCTTTGATGCCATCTCCAGTGCAGAAACTCTGCATCCTAACGATGCTGCCACAAAGTGTTTTGAGGGCACACCCAGGCCAGCCTGAGGCTGCTGAGACGGGAAATGCAGATGCCCATCCTCTTCCGTGTTTAAATAAAATGACTGCATTATACCTTTAAGGCCAGGTGTGAGGACACCATATCTGGATGGCCTAACGATGCCCTGAAGGAAAGTGAAGCTGGGAGGCCCTTCTTGGGCAAAGGCTCTCCTCCTCGTGTGGTTGGTGAGGACAGGAAGTGCTGTCCAAGGCTCACTTTGAGCCAGGCCCTGCACCAAGGGCTGATGTGGATTAATCCACTCATCCTCAGAGAAGGTGTAGCACAGAGTGGAGAGCTGGAGCCAGCAGCCTGGGTTCAAGTCCCAGTGTGGCACCAACAACCTGCGTGGCCATGGCCAGTCATGTGACCTCTCTGTGCCTCAGTTTCCCATGTGTAAAATAAGGATTATGATGTCACCAGCCTCATGAGGCTCCTGTGAGGATAAAATATTTCTTGTCACAACCTCAGACCAGCATCCCGGATGCAAGAAACACCCAGTATAGGGGCCTGGCTGTTGACATTGTCAGTATCAAGAGGAAGCAGTCTCCTTCTCACCAATGGAAGCATTGTATCCTGCAGTGGATAAGGGACTTGTAGAAGGACACTCACAAACCAGGGGCACGGACTAGGACAGTGATTCCCAACAGGGGGTGATTCTGCCCCTCGGGGACATCTGGCCAAGTCTGGAGACATTTTAGGTTGTCTCCCCCTGGGGTGGGGGTGTTACTGGTGTCCAGTGTGGAAAGGCCAGGACACTGCAGAATATCCCCATGTGTCCAGGACAGCCTCTCCCCAGCAGAGAAGCACCTGGCCTCCTGCCCCTAGTGGTGAGGCTGAGGGACCCAGGGACCCTGCTCTAGCCCTGGGCCCCCCAACGCCAGCTCTTCTCAGAAGTGCACCCACATACCTTCTCCTGTTGGAGGCTCTCAGGCGTGTAAGGGCAAGGATTCTAGGGCCTAATGAGTTTGGGGAACACCACAGGCCCCAGCCTCTTCAGAGATGTCAGTGCCCTCAGGCCAATGACCAGCTCCAAGTTTCGGCCACAAAGACTCTGGTTCCGCCACAAAGACTGGTTCTGAGGTAGAAGTCAGCCCCTCCTAGCACACGAGTGACAGCACCCCTTCATGTTTTGCAGCCACATATTCAGAATTGCTTCCTCAGACCCAGTGGAAAGGCTCAGAAACAGCAGGGAGGGGAGGCTGTGATCCCCGGACTGCCGGTCTGTCCCGCCATCACAGCACCCACTGCATGCCTTCAGTACCAGCCAGGGTCAGCACTGACATCGCTGCCCTTTCCACCTCCCCACAGACACCCAGGAAGATGCAGCCTGATGGCCCATGCCCGTAACAGTCGCCGCGAGATGCAACACTTCCTGGGTCCTCCGTTGCAGGCCAACCACCACGCCCACCCCGGACCCTCCTGGAAGTGAGCGGAGGGCCACGCACGGCCAGGACCAGCTGGGAGGGAACCCCTCAGCACTGCCTCCTCCTGGCCTGAGCCTCCTTCTCCCTTCATCACAGGGTGGTCTGCAGGCCTCTGTCGGCCCGAGCCCCAGAGTCCTCAGGGTAGGACAGAGCAATGACTCTGACCTTGAGAACATGGACCCCGTGAGCACCTGCTCCCAAACAGGCAGACGTTGCCTGTCCCGTTCACACCACTTCCGGACGGCCACTTGGGATCAGTTGAGCACTCTCTGTCTCTCCCCCGGCTTCCATCTCATCTTCCTTTTCTTGTTTTGTGTTTTTTTTTTTTTTTTTTTTTGCTATAACTTCTAAACACTGAGTCTCTGTACCCCACCGATACACTGTTTGCCACATTATCCTCAGGGATGACATTCTCAAAGTCACTTGCTATTCCACTTTTATGCGATTTTTTCACATACATATGAAAACTAATATGCAACTCTCAAAACAATTTCACGGCGGTATTTTCTGATCCTTGCTCGAAGCCCGGCTATGCACCCCCACCCCAGCTTATTTCAGGAGAGGCTGATTTCCAGGGGACATGACCCCCTCCTGTTTCTCCCCAGGTGCAGCCGCTCAACCTGTTCCTCCCCCAGGCATGAGCTCTGTCCCCAAACCCCTGGTGACACTAGACCCCTGGCCCAAATCCCCACACTTAATGACTCATCCTTTCCTCACCAGAAATAATGGAATCGTTCAGTGCCTCCTCGTCCTGATACAAAAGCAAGTCGTCCTTGAGTTCAGAATTCAGGATCAGGTTCTCCTTGTTCTCCTCGGACTCCTTAGCTGCAGTTCGCTTGTTCTCCAAGGCCCCGTCAAAGCTCCAAGCCTCCTCCCTCTCCTTGCCCCGCTCCACGCTGGACGTTCTCGACAGACGGACGTCCATTCGTTTCTTTGGAGACCCTTTACTTTCCCTTCCTTGAAAACTAAACCAGAAAGACATTCAGGTTACATGTTGCCCGCTTTACCCAGAAACTCAACACAATTGACTTTGGGGCTCATAATGAACATCACAGAGGCAAACTCCAAATGTGTGCAGCTTTCAGCGTTTGTCCTGGAGATACCAGAAGGAGCATGAGGCTTTGAGTCCAAGACAAATGGCTGTTTAAAACGTGCTGTTTTGGAAAGCACAGAACACACACATAATAAAACCTGCCGAAACAGTGCAGTTGAAGCTTAGGCCGAGGACTTCACAAAAACTGAGACGCACATTCTGCTTGTCCAATGTTCCTTCAAACCACACTGCCTCCCATTACCGACTTTACCTCCAGTAAGTCACTGTTTCTTACACAGATGTGGCCTCTAGTCCTTCACAGTCCACGAGCCACATGTGATCCAAAATATCAGAGTAAGCTGCAGGCACAGGCTGCCTTATGCTCTTGCCCAGTGAAAACTACAAAGCCCTCAGCGTCCTGGGACAGAGTGGATCGGCCACTTCTCCCTAAGTCATTCTCTCCTGAGGAGCTCCATCCCCCCCCTGGGTCCTGAGGGGCTCCCGCAGGGGACTTTGTGGCCAGGTTCCCACAGGGCACATTGACTGTGCACCCCCACTCCCAGAATGGGGGAACCAAGATCAGCTACGTAATCTGCAGAGCGAGGTGCACAATGAAATGTGGGTTCCTCGTTCAGAAGTTATCAAGAATTTCAAGACAGTGACTGTGGAACGTGAGAGCCAGCCGGGGCCCTGGGCGCTGCACAGGCTGCTCATCCTGGGGCTGGCCCGCAGGGGTTCTGGTGGCACAGGTCTCCCTCATGGGGCAGGGCCTCACCTGTCCTGGCGATGCTTCGTGGCCAGCGCTCTGTGCAGCTCCTCAATGACGCGGCTGGGGGGCAGTGGCCGGTGGACCGTGGTGAGATGCGGAGACCCCGTGGGTGTGGAGAGCTGCCCCCGGAGGGGAGGGTCGGCACTCTTTATGCTGGAGCCTTGGAAGAGCGCGGCTTGGCCTAGGGTGTGGGAGGAAGCAGCAAGAACGTAAGTCTTCAGGAGCAGGGACCAAGGGTCTTGCTGAGACCAGAGACAAGGAGCAGAGAGGACGCGCCCTGCACCCCCAGGAGGCAGCCCCAACTAATGCCAAGATGCTGGACCAGGATCCCTGCTCCCAGCACTAGAGGCCAGGGTGCATCTCTGTCTCGCCCTGCTCCATCTGTAGTGCCCACCCTGCTAGGAGCTGAGCCCTGCAGCTGCCAGCACCAGTTCCTCCCTGCAGGGCATCGCGCTTAGAAAAGCCTCCTTCCTGCTTCTCTGCTATGAGTTCAGCTTCCTGAAGCTGCTTCTTGTTCTTGGGAAACCTGGAAGAAACTCGGCAGCAACCCTTTGGCCTGGACGAACACCACAGCCCGCCCCGCCCTTCCCACAGCATCTGTGCCAGCACCTTGGTCTTCCACTTCCAGCCCCCAGAACGGGGAGGAATCAATTTCTGGTCCCCAACCCTCTTCCTGTCTCTCTGCCAGGAGGATCTCCTCGATCAGAAGGTGAATTGGCTCACTCCCATTTTCCTTAGGACACGATTTGAACTCGTGGCCCCATCTCCAGGCCTCCGGGGGTGGCCCCACTTGGCTCCCTGCTGCACCTCCACCCACTCTCTTCACTCCAGCATGAGAAGATCTCTCCAGTCCCAGAAGGCACCATGGTGTCTCCACTCTGAACATTTGCAGGGGCTGTTCTTTCTGCCTGAAATGCTTCCCCCCTCCTCTACTAGAATATCAGTTTCTTAGAGAGGCCTTGATCAGATCCCCTGCCACCTGCCCCTGGGACCTGAGCCTGCCCTGACGCCTTTCCTCTTACTTGGAGTGAATCACGTTGCCCAGTATATGTCTTGCTCCTGGACAGGCCTGTGTCCACCTTCCTTCCTACACTTTTCCCAGGCCCAGCGCTTAAAACACATGCAATAAACACTGGATTACATGAAATGACTTTGAAGACGATTCTAAACAGGCTTTCTCAATCAAGCCTAAACGAGTGAAACACCCCCTCCTTCCTTCAGTGACGGTCTCCTGCTTGTGCTCCAGGCTGGCAGGATGCCAGGTGCCCAGAGGAGCAGAGAACATGGGCTTTGTCTTCTACAGATTTGGCCTCTGGTCTCGATCTGCCACTTCCCAATGTTCAAGACCCTGGGAACGTCACTGAAGCTCTCAAAAGCTTAGCTTCCTTGCCTGTAAAACAAGACCATCAGCTCTTCATCAGGAGCCCAGCAGCTCTTAGGTATTCAGCACAAACTCTCCTTCCAAAAGCATCCCGGCAGGACAAGTGCAACCAGCTCCCCTAATCCCACCAGGAAAACAACCAGATCTAAACTACCCCATTCCCTAAAAACCAGAAACAAACTCTCCCACCATAATCCTAGAGTGGACAGCGCCAATAAAAAGTGTTCCTCAAAACTCAAAGGGCAACTGTAAGCCTCACGGAGGGTTTTAGCTATTTCACCTCCACGAGCACCTGCTTCGCCAGACAAGGCCAGGACACAGGGAAATGGCCCAGGCTCTGCCCTCCACTGGTGGAGCCAGACAGGGGCCAGGCAGACAGACAGGGAACAAAACGGTTTGAGAAGAGAGAGGGAAACAGAAGAGGGAGAGAAAGGGGCTGGGAGAGGGAGAGGAACCGGGGCGAGGGCACCGTGCACATGGGCTGAGAGCACCTGGGCGGGGCCGGGGGAGGTGGTGGCTGGTTTGGGCAAGGGCGGTCAGGCGAGACTTCTCTGCAGAGGGGACCTTTGAGCTGAGACCTGAGAAATGACAAGGAGTCAGCCATGCCAGAAATGGCCAGGTTGGGCAGGGGCTGCAGGGAGGCCCATCCCCCGCCTCCACACACTGGGCTGTGCACTCCCCCCAGCCTCAGCCTCCCCAGGCTGCTTGGGCTCAGGACAGTGCCACACTCCTGAGCACACGCAGGTGACACTCAGCATCCCTCAGGCCCCCTGTCTCTAACCATCATGGCCTCTATACCTCACCCCAACACCATGAGGAAGGAATCACTAGCCCTGTTGCACAAACAGGGAAAGTGAGGCAGCATGGCTTGCCTGCTCTCACTCAGCTTGGTGGAGCTGGGATCCCACCCAAGTCTCCGCCCCACTGTCAATCACAGATGTGTCAGCCAGCACCATGCCTACAGCCCCCAGAGAGCACTTTGCCTGGCTTGCCCTACCCAGCCTGTACAGGGGACCTCTTGTCACCCCCACTTCACAGATGAGGAAGCTGAGGTTCAGAAGCCAACTGAGGGGCAGGCCACCAGGAGGAGGTGGGGGCTGAGATTGGCACATCGCACCCAGCTCCACTTACACTTGGCAGAGGCAGGGATTCCCATCCTGCAGACTTGAGTGTCACCAGCTGGACCAGGTGCCAGCAGGGAAGGCTCTAATTGGAGAGGGGTAAACACATCTCCAGGGACCAGGAAGGTGGAATCCAGGAGTGCAAGGGACCTCCTGCAATCCCTGCCCCAGGGGCAGGGCCGCCCCGCAGCATACAGAGGCAAACCAGCCTGCCTTAATGGGCCTGTGCTGACTCAGAGGCTGATCAGAGATGAAGACGTTTCAAGAAAGGCCAGGAATTTGGCCAATGAACCAGCAAGGAAGCCCTCGTCAGAGACATCACATCTGCCAGCATCTTGGTCTTGGAATTCTAGCCTCCAGAAGAGTGAGGAATAAATGTCTGTGGCTTATAAGCCACTCAGATGAACTAAGACACCTGCGGTCCTTGGCTGGAGACTCAGCTAGGCCAGGGTCCCCGCCTGCAGCAAGGGAAGCCCAGGAGGGACCGTCTTCTTTGCTGCCATCTAGTGTTCACATGCTGAAGCATGTGAATATTTTCCCAAAGGAAAAGGAAAAAGACAAACTGAGAAAATTAAACCAAAGTCACCAAAAGGCAGTCTCCCCAGTGAGAAAGTCATGTCAGGACCCACAGCTAGGAACCAACCTCCTCTGCCCTCCCAGTCTCAATTCCGTCCCCAAGGCAGCGCATTGGCAAAGTGTCAGAGTGTCCCCTGATGTCCCTGCAACCCAGGGCAGAGTGGAAGCCAGAAGTGTCCACAGACTGGGAACAGAATGCCAGAATTTAACAGGTGTGGAGTCAGAGTAAAGACCTGTGCCGCCTGAGGACCGACCTTCCCAAGCTCGGGGGAGGCAGGAAACCCTCTGGATTACTAAGTTATTGAGGGCCAGGAACAAATTATACATTAGCCAGAATAAGATCAGGTGGACGGTGGCTAATTGAATGGACTTTAAATGGCTTTGGGTTTCAACGGAGGAAAACGGGAGCTAGCACAAAGACAATAACAAAAGGCAAAGTAGCAGTTGGCCTCACACTTTGTGTTGTGATTTATGTGGCCACGTCACAAAGACGGAATATTTGGATTCATTTACAGAGATGTAAAAAGATGCAGAAAGCAGACCGACAGGTTCAGAACATGCATGCATTCATTCACTCATTCACTCATCCGCCCATCCCACCTTCATCTGCACGTGCTGAGTGCCTGCTGTATGCCTTGCACTACGCCTGCGCTTGGATTTGACGGTGAGCGCTGAGGTGTGGCCAGCTCTCTGGCGCTACTGTTGGGGGGCCAGGTGGTTAGCAGGAAGCAAACCACCCAGCGGACAAGGCATGTAGGCTCCTTGGGCAGCCTAAAACAGCAGAACAACCCTCACAGTTCTGGAGGCCACCATTCCAAAATCAAGACCCTGCCAGGGGTGGTACCTTCTGAAGCTACAAGGGAGAAACCGTCCCAGGCCTCTCTCCCAGCTCCTGGTGGCTGCCAGCAATGCTTGGCATTCTGGGGCTTATGGGGGCATCAGTCCCATCTCTGTGTGTCCTGCTCTGCCTCTCATAAGGATGCTGTTGCTGGATTCAGGGCCTACCCTAATTCAGCATGAGCTCAGCTTGATCTTTAACTTAATGACAGTTTAAAAGACCCTTATTCCAAACGAGCTCATGTTCTGAGGTCCCAGGTGGACGTGAACTTTCCAGGGGACACTGTTCAGCCCACTAAACCAGGTGCAGCCATATGGTAAATGCTAGAAGATGAGGCGTGAGGTGCCATGAGGTCAGGGCTCTGGGCTGGCTCCCCTGAAGGAGAAACAGCTTGAGCTGTGGTCCCAAGCATGCAAAGGTACTGGCCAGGCAGAAGAGGAAGGGAGAATGTTCTGGCAGGGAGAACAGCCTGGGTTAAGTCTTGGGGCAGAGGGTGGGACATCTCCTCACTCACCCCTCCACCCACCCAGCAGCACATCCTTCAACATACTAACCCTACTCAGAGAACCACAAGGTACCACAGCCCTGCATCTAACCCATCCACAACATCTGCTGTCCCAGCTGAAGAGCTCTCCTATGGGGTGTATCTCACCTCCTCTGGTTCTGTGCTGTCTGGTTAAGAATCATCAGTTAGATTGGGATACTTAATTTCTGTTAGGTACACAAAGAAAACGTCCCACCAAAAGCATTTGCCACCCAAAAGTCACCTCCAGGGTGAACATTCACCCCATAAGGGGCAGTAAGTTTCCTGCAAAAGAGGAGGGGCTGGGACCCAGTCCTCCCGAGCTGTGCCCAGGCTTTCCCTGTCCCAGCAGCCGACACCTCTTCCGAGAGGTGGCAGCTCCCTCTCCCATGAAAACTGGAAAGCAGCACAGTGAGGATTAGGTGAGATCACAGAGGGGAGAGCCCCGGCCCCTGGCCACATGTGTAGCAGCAACAAGCTTTGGGCCCAAAACTGGGTTCAAAAGTCTCCAACATTTCCAGGACCTGGGGCAAGTGACTGGAGTTTCCTGAGCCTCAGTTTGCTCAAGTATAAATGGGGCACCTGGTGCCTACCCAGCAAATCACATCATTGATGGTGGTTAATCATCGGTGAAATGATTACAGCAAAACTCAAACGCTTCTGTGTGTCATCTTTCACACACACAGCCTTCAAAGACAGCATGTAAGGCTGTACTCTGAAAAGTAATTATCTCTTGATAAAGAGCCTACTTTTTCCCTGAGACCATCAGTGTGTCCTGTTTCCAGCAGCAACGGGACAAAAAATACCTAAGCTTGTGTAGTAATCATCTCTACTTGCTGGGATTATTCTGCCAGTGTGACAAAAGCTACGTAAGTGTATGACTTGGGAGCCTCTGTCCAGCTGTGCACCCCTATCTAACCACCAAAGTCTGGTGTTTACTCCTGGCTCTGCCTTGCTGGACAGAACTCACTGGAAAGTGAAACAGCAAAATAGAGACCAGCAGAGAGAGGGAGCGGGAAGGGAGAGAGATTGAATGAGACTGAGACTCAGAGAGAAGCAGAAAGAGAAAGACAGACAGACAGAAAGGCCCCATTCTGGGGGCTGGCTGTATCTCTTACATTCAGGTCCTGGAAGATGTCCCCTTTGACTCCTGCAACAAGCCTCCCCTGTTTGCCTGAGGGAGTCTAGGCAGTCTGCTCCTGACAATTACAGTTTCCTTGGTAAGATCTACTCCTCTGGACCTGCCCTGAGCCCCAATCACAGAAGCTAATGACGCAAACCAGTGCATAGTGGATGCCCAGTCAAGACTGGTTAAAAGTACTGATGGATGGATGGATGGCTGAAAGGATGGATGGGTGGATGAGTTAGTAGGTGAATAGACAAACTGACAGACAATGGATGGGTGGATGAATATATGAGGGATGGATGGATGGATGGATGGAGCAGAGAAAGGAAAGGGGATGGACAGGATGCATGGGGACCCACCTGTGACATTTTTTGTGGTTTTGGAGCTTGCCTTGGGTGGCGGAGTGGGCAGCAGTGGTGGGCTGGGCAGCTGGCCCACGGATCTCTCCAGAGGCCTGGGAGGACTGTCCAGGGAGTCAGACCCAGCTAAGGCTTGGGAGAGCTCATCGGTGGTGGGCAGGAGGCTGCCAGCATCTGCTTCTTCACCACTGGACGCAGATGGCATCTTGGCTGGTTCAAAGGCAAAGCAGAGAGTTCAAAAACATGTTTCATCTGAGAGCAGTGGAAGTAGGAGAGCAAAGCAAGAGGGTGTGGTGGGATGGGATCGTAAAGAGCATGCAGAGAGCCACCTCGCACGGGAACTGACTTCCCGCAAGTTCAACTCTCAATAGAGCCATCAGAAGCAGAGAGGAGGGTGGAGAAAGAGAAATCATTTCAATAGCGTGAGGGATTCCATTCTTTTTTCTACATGAGAGGTGCATGCCACAGCTCCTGCCTCACCTAGGAGCAGTGTTCACCATGACAGGTTTTGGCATCAGAAACACCCAGGCTCAAGTGCTCTCTGCACTGACTCTGGGACCTTGTTTAAGTTACTAAAACTTTCCAAAACTCCATTTACTCGTGCATGGCATTGTGTTGACAGCAGCCCCTCAGAGGACTGTTTCTCGGTTGAAACAAGAAATGGCCACGAGAGGTGCTCCTGACACAGTGCAGCCCTCCAGTCCAGCAGCTCTCATTCTTAGGTGTCTGCAGCAGTCCTAACGTCTAGCATGCCAGCCCAGGGCGGCAGCGAGGATAGGAAGGATCGACTTGGAGGAAGGGTTGGACCACCCAGAACCCTCATCCCTCCCTTTCTAGCTGCTTATTCAGGCTCCTTCCACCTCCTTCACTACCACTCCTCAGCCTGCCTATCCTCAGCTTTCCCTCAACCCATCAACCCTTCCCATTCTTATTCTCTTTTTACCTGGCTTGGATTCCATCATCCCTTACTTCAGCAACAATCTGACCAACAGCCTGAGTCCTTTGCCTGGATTCCTTTCCATTTAACTGTCCGGAAAAGCTCCATCTGGGGATGAAGCTGCTACCTGTCTGCTCCTGCCCTTGCCTAGTATTGCAGGAGGAAGAGCCTTGTGGAGTCCAGCTCAAGAAGAACTGTCACTCTGCAGGACCTGTGGCCAGAAGCTTCCTCCTGCAGGTGCTCTGCATGACTGTTCAAGCCCTTTCTTTCCCTTCCCCACCTCCAGCTTCCCACCTTTACCTGCTACTGCCACACAACTTCACCTCCAGCCTTACGGGGGAAACTGAGGCCATCAGACTGGGGCTCCTCTTGGATTTCTGACTCGAGTGCAAACTGCCATCCCCAACACCTCTGTTCTTCCTTCCCTCTGATCCAAGAGAGGCAGTCTCCCTGGGACCAGCACTCCCTCACTCCCTGCCCTCTCAACACACTCCTGAGTGCTGAGGTCTGTGGAAGACACCTGGCACGCATCCTCTTATTCAGTTTTTACAACTACCCAATGAGGAAGACATAAACACTCTCCCCATTGTATGTCTGAGGGAGAAACCTGATGGAGCTGGAGCTTGTCCTTGGGTCACTGTGTTAGCTCCTGTGGGGTTCATTCATCTATCAGCTGCTGTTTCTGGAGGTACCCACGAGCTGTTGGTGTTGTCCGTGGTGCTGAAAACAGTGGTGGCAGGAGCGGGTGTTATAGTAGGCCCAATTCCTGCCTGCAGAGAGCCTCCAGTGAAACACCAGATACAAATAGTGCATGTCCCTTGTATCCCATTATCTATCATTAGTTTCTGCTCCTTTATCACTCGTGTTTTAAATTCTCATTCTTAGCCCTTTCTTATCGTTCATGACAATGGAGTCCTTATCTCAGAAGGGCCAGCCCTCCTAACACCGGAAGAACAAAATATCTGAAAGCAGAGATGGGGTATGTGTTGTTCTCCCCCCAAAACACATAATCCATCTGCACAGGAAAGACTCAGCTCCGTGTTACGAAGTTGGCCTGAACTGAGAACAACCATTACAGTTGGCTCTATACTCTTTTGTTCTGCATGGACACCCCCATCAAAGTGCAGTTTTCATTTTATTTTTCTTATTACTATTAAACTGTCCTCAAAAGTGTTACTTGTTAAAAAGTGTTTAAGACTCATATGCTGTCATTATGTCATCTGAATTGTAATTTATAATGTGCAAGAGTCTACAATTCTGATTACTGGTTTAATTTAGTAAGTTTTGCCCTGATAATAACATCAAAGTTAAATATCTTGTGCTTTCCAGGTAAAAATAGTTGTGAGATTTCCTTATTAAGCCACAGGTAAGCATGAAAATGCCCATTTTCTCTACGTAGGCTCCAGTTATGACTTTGTGGAGTTTTCTGTCCATGTAAATCAGCACAGGCAAGTGGACACCCTCATTCTTGGGACACCACACTCCAGAGCCCACTTCCTTGGCACCCAAGCTCATGGCCAAGACCACCAGGCATGAGGTGAGCTCTCAGTAGCCAGCCCAGGCATAGTTTTCTCCTCTGAAGTTTCCTCCTGTGGGTCTCACCCCTTTTCAGACATTTGCACATCTGTTATTCTAAAGGCCTTCAATGTGGTCCTTGTATCCACACCCTGCTTTGACTGTTTGGCTTTACAGGACTTCTTGTTCCTGATTGCTTCTTTGTGATTTGGTCATGCTCTCAGGGGACTGGGCACCCAGCACATTTCCAAAGTCCTGCTTTTGGGAGACAGATGTCATGAAAATGGCTCATCTGGCCTCAGTTACATAAGTGTCCAGCATCTGTCCCCTTCCTCTGTGTGTTTGACCTATTTACAGATAAGTGACCTTGGTCTCCACCTTGCTGAGTGAGTCTCAGTTTCCTCATCTGTACAAATATCTGTATGAAATAACCGACCCTGCCCACTACAAGGGTGGAAAGGCCAACATGAGACCACGGCAGTGAAGGTTTGTCTAGAGCTTTCAGGACTCCTCTTCACTCACCTCCTCCAGGGCCCTGGGGGCTGGGTAAGGTGGCCAGCATTTGAACCAGGCTCCAAGGGCTGCTCGGAGTTGCCACCAAAGGAAGCATGACCAGGGAGGCAGAGCCGCCTGGGGTCAGCGTCCCCACCGCTGGGTCAGCACCAGCCAGTATCTGCGTCTATCTTCTATGTCCGATCTCCACATAAGACTTCGCTAGAAAAGCACTGACTTGGGCCAGCTCCACATCCCACTGAGCTATTGACAGGTTGTCCCCTTTGGCCTGCATCACTGACTTCTTCTTTTTGGGATCCCAACAAGATCCAAAATCTGCTAACGAAAACCAAACCAGTCACGTATACCCCCAGCTTTGGCTACAATTATCTGTTCCTTTGAAAAATAAACTTGAGAAGGTTGACCTTTAACACTGCATCTCCATCCAGCAAGGCCTGGGCCCCTCACTGAGATCAGGCCACCCCACCCAGCCATCAACCACCTCTAACACTTTCCCCCCGGCTTCCTGACACACACTATCCTGGTTCTCCCCTGGGGCCCTGGCCACCTCAGCTCAGCCTCTCTGGCAGGTCCCACTGCCTGCATCTGAATCTCTACCTGGGTTGCCCCAGGATGCAGGCCTAGGTCTTCTTCCTCATCTGACCCTCTCACAGGTCATTCCCATCCACTCCTCGGGCTTCAGAACTGATCCCACCTCTGTCAACCCTAAATCATTCCTCTGAGCTCCAGACTCATATGCTACCAGCCGGCCACATTGGCATCTATCTCCATTTGGAGGCCAATCACATCCAAACCAGAGCCTTGGTCCCCAGGAAAAACCCTCCTGAGTCTTCCCTTCCCTCTCACTCATCCAACCATCAACTATCTTACAAATGTTATTGAAACAACCATGGGATTCAGGCACTATTCTAGAAGCCGTGGACATGGCACTAGTCCAGACAGACCCCCACTGTATTAGTCTTTTCTCACACTGCTAAAAAATAACTGCCTAAGACTGGGTAACTTATAAAGCAAAGAGGTTTAATTGACTCACAGTTCAGCATGGCTAGGGAGGCCCCAGGAAACTTACAATCATGGCAGAAGGTGAAAGGAAAGCAAGCACCTTCTTCATAAGGTGGCTGGAAGGAGATGTACCCGGTGAAGAAAGAAGAGGCCCCTACACAACCATCAGATCTCCTGAGAACTCACTGTAATAACAGCATGGAGGGAACTGCCCCCAGGATTCAATTACTTCCACCTGGTCTCCCCCTTGACACATGGAGATTACGGTAATTATGGGGGTTATAATTCCAAGATGAGATTTTGAGTGGGACACAGCCAAACCATATCAGCCACTTTCACCATGTTCAGTGCTCCATGGCCCATCAGCTGTCCAGCCAGACCAGATGCCCCATGCCATCCTACTCTTGTCCTCTCCTCCCTGTTCCCTACCTCTTATATCCAATTCACAGACAAGTCCCATGAACTCTGCTTCCAAAGTATTTCTCAGAAATATCCATGTGTCTCCCATTGCGAGCTATCAGAACTTCTGCCTGGGCCTCCTCACCAGCCTCCCAACTCCTGGCAATGCTTCCCACCCCAGTGGAAACTCATTCTCCAAACCAGGGATTGGTGGGCCTTTCCTGCAGAGGGCCAGGTAGAAAATATTTACGGCTTGGGCCCTGTGGTCTCTGTTGCTATTACAGCCTCTGTTAGTATGGAGAGCTATGGAAGGCTGGGCTTGGGCCCTGTGGTCTCTCTTGCTATTACAGTCTGTTAGTATGGAGAACTCTGGAAGGCTGGCCAATCCAAACAACACCTTTCCTTGTTTCATGCCAAAGCAGACGTGTAGCCACCCTGACCCTCGGCACTGCCCAGTAGCACTTTCTAAAATGATGAGGACATTTCTTCCTGGTCCATATGGTGGCCAGCAGCCCCTCATGACCACTGAACACTGGACAAGTGGCTAGAGTGACAAAGAAGCTTAAATTTTCATTAATTTAAACAGCCACATGGCCAGTGGCTACTGCACAGGGCAGGGGAGCTCTGAATTTCCCAGGACTGAGGCAATGGTCATGGGGCAACTGCCTTAAGCCACAGGGTAAAGGGTAAGCCTCTGAGGTTCCCCATTCCACCTGCCCAAGGTGGGACTGTGGGTTCCCCACCCTCCACCCTGATGGCCTCTGGACTCACACACAAGCTATGCTCACCAAAACTCTCCTCCAAAGTCTCCCCCAAAATATCCATCCTCACCACACACAACCCTCAC